ACCAGGCGTGACACTCACCGCTGCCTAAGCAGTCACAGACTATAGGTTTAGGTCCCAGATTTGCCTAGGCACCCGGTGTGCCTCCCTGCCTTGGTCTTCATGACTCTTAGTCAGTTGAACCTCAGGGGGTAACTGGCCCATCCATGCTCAGAACCTAGAAATCTGACTCCTGCCTTTTCACCCACAATAGTCCCAGGGTTCCAGCCCACAGGCAGGAAGGAGCGTCAACACAGCGCAGGTTCTCGACATACCCCTTTTTAAGGCAAGCCTCCCTCAAGCTAAACGTGGATTTCACCCATGCTCCAGACACTGGACTGTGCCAGTCATCTGGGACATAGGTCTTTCCAGGATGACTGCCCAAACCCTTTGTTAAACAGAAACTCCCTCATGGTCCTTCCTAAAAAGTCTCCAGGTCAGTGACCCTTCCTCCCTGAGGTCTTTGCTCTCAGAGGCCTGGCGTTCTCCTCGGTAAACAGTTTCTTTTATAATATCATTGAGATCTAAAACGAAATGAAATTGGAACATTGACTATGCCTCGTCGCCATGGAAACAACGTCAAGCCTGAGTGCCTCCAGGAGATGTGGGTGCTGGGAGCCCTCTCCCAGCTGCTAGGGAAGTGAAGGTTTGGGGACCAGACAAGGCTAAAACAAGGTTTTCTGTTAGATTAGCAGCAGTTTGGGCCGCGCTCACATCATGTTCAGCACAGAGCTCCACCAGCGGAAGTGTAATTCAGAGGATAACTTCAATGTCCGCAGGGGACTGGGTGGGTACAGAACACACCAGGCAAAGAGGAGGGACAGCTCATTCCACATTTGCAAAGTATGTTCTAAACTATCAAGGCCTTTCTATAGAAGCACTTTTTGCTTCTGTGAATGGGAAGCCAACATTTCCCCAAGAAACGGCTTTTATGAAGGCCATAAACAAAGCCCTTCTGATTTCTTAGCCCGGCTGCTTTGCTTGTATAGCTTCGCTCTGGAGAAGTGGCTCAGAAGCTCGGGGAGTCAGACGAGGCTGAGAGAGTTGTTTGACCGAAGACTCTCTTTTTCCAGCGTGGTGGTGCAAGGATAATGAGCCAGTTTCGATTTCCTAAAGACCACCAAAGGTAGTGCCCGTCAAAATCAAGGGTGGATTCAGGGATACCCACCCCCCAACCCCCATCTCTTTAAAAGTCAGCAATGGCCCCAACCCTCCTCTAGAAGCATGACTGGGTAGGTCTGAGCCTCATGCAGGCCCAGGATCCTGAATGATGTAACCTGTGGGTGTTAGCTCCCTGTAGAACTGAGGTTAGAGGAGTGAATGCTGTACCTACCTGCTAGCAGCACCCATCACAGTGAGTTGTAACCATGCCACACAAAGGTGCCGAAGCCTATTTGTGCCCAGTACTAACTACACAGTGTTACTGTGTTCTGTTCCTGACCTCCTTTTCTCCTTGTATCTTTTTCTTTTTCCAAGACAGAGTTTCTCTGTATAACTGCCCTGGCTGTCCTGGAACTTGCTCTGTAGACCAGGCTGGCCTCAAACTACCAGAGATCCACCTGCCTCTGCCTCCCACGTGCTGGGTTCAAAGGTGTGAGCCATCGCTGCCCGGCTTGTATTTGACCTCTTAATAACTTAGGTTGGTGCTGGCATCTGAGTCCGAGAGAGAAATCAGTTTGCACATTGCAGGGACTTTCTCAGAGATCAACATCTATGCAATCGGCAGAGATCTGTGCATGCTCCTCCTAATTCCGGAGCCAATGTTCCTACTTGACTCGGATGGTTTCCTTTGTGTATTTGGGGGTTTTTTGTGTGTTTGTGGCTTTAAATGTAGTCTAGGTTGTAATCCACAAAGCTGTGATGTAGCCCAGAGTGGCCTTTTACTCCCCCACCTGCTAGGATTACAGGCATCCACCACAACCCCCAGTTTAACCGAGTTCATGAACTCCAGATACATCATTAACACTATTTTAACCACCCCCCCAAAATCACTTACCTGTTCTGTCATGGATTAACTTGCTAAGTGCCTTCAGAATATCAGCTTTTCCAGCTGTTCTATTAAAATGATTCTCACATCACTTGGAAATTAGAAATCTCTTCATGTAACATATGACACTTAATTTTTTTTTAAGTAGTTCCCCCCCATACACACACACACAAAAATCTCTCAGTATATAGCCCAGGTTGCCCTTGAACACTCAGGCTTCTTGCCTCGGCCTTTCTCCTGGGATTACAGGGGCACACCTCAAGCCGAACATTTCCCGGGTAGACACAAACATCTACCCCCCACCAGTCCCCAAATACGGTTCCAAAGACAGACCAAAGTAACCACTATGCCAAGATCCAACTTTGGGAAGTAATGAGTTTGCCGGGCTTTCGTGCAGAAGCATGGGTGAGGGGTCACCCACAGGTGACCCCCAAACAGCCACATCACTGAAAAATCTCTCCAAGTGCTGCATAGGTGACATCATTCAGTTACCCTTTCACACTTTATCTCACCTTCCCAGACCTTGAGAACCCTTGTAGAGTTGGGCACAGTGCTGCAGGTCTGTAATCCCAGCAAGGCGGGCAGATTTAAGGCCAGCCTGGTCTACAAAGGCAGTCCAGGACAGCCAAGGCTACACAGAGAAACCCTGTCTCAAAAAAAAAAAAAAAAAAAAACTGAGAGAGAGAATACTGGTAGGTATCATAGATAACTGACAGGATAATTGACAGGATCACAGAATACTGGAAGGGAAGTGTGAAAAGGCATGACCTTCCCGAACCTGCTTCAGTGAGGGACTCCAATAGGCCCGATCCTAGAGGCACCTGCAGGCTACTCTGATAGAATGGACTGTCATTTCTCTCAGGTTCTCAGGCTTAATGGCAAATGCCATTTCACTGGGCCCTCTCTACCATATTCACTTTAAGGACAGGATTCATCATTGAAACTGGTCCTGGCCAGTTCAGACAGACTGGCTGGCCAAAAGGTGGGCCCCCTTTCTTTTTGCTTTTTCGAGCCCTGGCTGTCTAGGAACTCACCTATAGACCAGACTGGCCTGGAATTCAGATATGAACCTGCTTCAGCCATAAGTGGCTTCGTATTTTGAGTGTCTCACACTGCAGTCCAGGCAGGTCTCATCAAAATCCTCCCACTCCAGTCCCCCAGTGCCAAGATTACAGCAAGAGCCATCAGGCCTATCAAAATCGCAGCTTTGCCTTGGGGATTTCTTCTTATGGCCTCAGATCTTTGGTTTCCTCATCATTAAGTGGAAGAATTCTTGTGAAAGCAAAACGGTGAGGAGAGCAAAGAGCAGTCAAGGTGAGCTGACTAGCTTTTGCCACAAGAAGCCACAGCCAGCTTAATACGACTGAAGGGGAGAGGATAAAATTTGGAACCTGAGATGGACCTTTGGTCCCAGCACTAGGAGGGTAGATCCCTGAGATCTAGGCCATCCATGTCTATACAGTGAGACCCTGTCTAACAGGGGCTAGCAAGATGGCTCAATGGTTAAGAGCACTTGTTCTTGCTTGCAAAAGACCCGGGTTCAATTCCCAGTACCCACAGGGTGGCTGACAACCTCTCCCTAAACCCAGTCCCAAGCGTACAAGAGGCACAACTACGTGCACACAAGCACATGTTTATAAAGATTAATACATCTAAATAAAAATCACCAAAACCCACCCTGAGAGAGTAATATAGGGGAAAACCCATGAAATCAGATGTGCTGCTTGTAATTGCATTTCATCACTTGTAATGAAATGAGGACCCTCCCACAGGAGGGTGGGAACTCCTGGCGAATGTGAAAAGCCTTAGCTTAGGCTTGCTGCTCCAGGTTCTGCAAGCAAAACAAGAAGAGTCACGGGGCCGAGTGGCGATGACACCAGCCTATGATCCCAGCACTCCAGGAGGCACAGGCCTGCCTGGTCCAGGGAAGCCAAGGCTACACAGGGAAACCCCGTCTCAAGAAACCAAACAAACAACAAAAACCTGTCAGGTCAGGCAGGGGCCTAGGCGCTCCTTGCTCTCTCCTCCCGGCTTCAGACCCTAGACAGCCACCTTAGGCAGTAAGAGATTAGAACAAGGGCCTGGGATGACTCTCTGTCTGGTGCCCAGAGTCTCAACTCTGTCCAGAAAAGGCAAACACAAGTGAGATGATAACGGGAAAGTCTGCTGAAGCAAACCAGGTCACAGGAAGGAGATAATGTGCTCAATGACAAATAAAAGACAACTGCAGCCGGGCCCAGAAGATAAGTGAAAATGCCTGGGAAGCAAGCAGGGAGATTTGTATATATATATAGTCGTTTTGTTTTGAAAATAAAAAAAAAAAAAAACAACAAAAAAAACAGGGTTTCTCTGTGTAGCCTGAAACCCTTTGTAGACCAGGCTGGCCTCAAACACAAGAGTGCCGGGTGCTGTGCGTCACCATGCCCAGCCCTCTGAAGTAGTTGTGCAGGGTGGAGACCTAGCTCAGCAGAGTCCCTGCCCAGCCCAGAACGCCCTAAGCCTGGGGTTCAAAAATAGAGAAAAAGGGTTCTTTTTCAAAAAGCACCAGTACATATAAATGCACATAATTTTGCGTACAAGCAAATGGCTCTTCAAGAGTGTGTGCTGTGACTCACTACAGTGGCAGAATTGTCAGGGCTTTCCTCTCTAATACTTGAATAAGATTTGCTTTTTTTTCTTCACATATTGCTAACTGGCATTTCTCTCCCACTGTCAGCTCGCCCCCTTCTCACTGCCACCTTAGATCCAAAGACAATGATGTCATCAGCAGAGCTTTCAGACTCCTAGAGGGTGGGTCATGGCATAGATGACTGGGTAAAGGTCATTCTGCGCTCCTGACAGAAAGCCAGGGGAAACGTGCAGACAGAGACCTGAGATCCCTTCATCACTTGGCTTGCTGTGCTGAGGGGACTATGGTGTCAGCTGAAAGGTCTGTGACCAGGGTTAGAGAGCACCCAGCATAGGCTTCAACAGTATAAATGTTAAATGTCAGGATACATACACATTGTGTCAAAGAAAATAGATGTTCTCTCAAGAGTTGGTATTTGAAAACTTTATTTTCTCAAATGAGCACCAACACAGATTGGAAATGACAGAAACAAGCACTTCTTACTAATACTGAATCATTATGTACAAATACCGGAAGGAGGTGAAGACAGATTACTCAAAAAACAATCGCCTTGTTATTGAAGCAAAGTGACCTGGGGGGAAAAAAAACAAAAACAGAATACGACACAAAGACAATCCCAAACCAAACAAATGCAGTTTGTAAACACAGACAGACAAATTCATGGTACAGTTTGCAGGCTAGGAAAAGGGAGCCAACTCCTGCCTTCACCAAACCACTGTGAAATGCTGGGCAAATCTAACCCCACCTCGGCTTTCTCTTTCTCATACATTTCATGACTGTATGGTAATTTTATAAATCAATCACAATTTTAAAAACAATATTTTCCACTCATAGAACTACCATGTGTTTTCCATTGAGGCAGATTTTTTTTTTTAATATAAAAGTTGCGTTCAAGATTTGATTTGCCAGTCTATGCCTGAACCCAAAGCAATCTGACCTTTAAAAAAAAAAAATCTATTTTGTTATTAATGTCCTTTTAACCTGAACCAGTTAACATTTAATATGACAGGGCTTCCAGAACACCCGGAGCCCTGGGGTGTGAGACTGATCTGCTCCACCCCAGAAGAACAGACTTCTCTCAGCATTTTCTCTCCGACTTATCCTCACAGCTTTGCTTCATGGGCTGAGGAGGCTGAGCACACGGAGGAACCGGCCGGAGCTCCACACTCGGGGAGAGAAAATCCTGCTTCCTGCTGTTGGTCGCTCCAACATGGAAACCAGAGAGGGAAAACTATGTGCCCAAGGTATAAGCTGTAGTTCATAGTGTCCTCAGTAGGAAACACACACACACACACACACACACACACACACAGGGCGGGGATTCCAATTTCTTGGAAGTTCTCCCAACTAAGGTAATTACCCTTAAGTTGTTACTACTTGTTTCTCTTCTGGCCAATACTGGGCAAGAAAGTATCAGTTCACAACCTTGCAATTTACTAGTCTGTTCAACTGGGAAAAAAAAAAATGCAAACATAAAAAAAAAAGCAAAAATGTTTTAAAGCCTCAATCCATTTTAAAGTGACAGATCTAAGGAAAAAAAAAGTATATCAGTGATTACTCTTTCCCTTAAAATATACTTCAAGAAACACAGAGGAAGCTATAGAATTGAAAATAAAAGTGCTCTCAGGGGATCTGAGAATACAGCACCAAATATATTATTTAAAAAATTAAATATTATTTACAAAAGTATATTTCACAAACAACTGTGTGTGTGTATATATATGTGTGTATATATATATATATATACACACATATATATACACTGGAAATTTTATCATAAAGGGGATACCTCTTCTGTACACACTGATCCACCAGCAAAGATTTACTTCATCTACATGATCTGACTGCCATAGGAGTTGGGGTGGTTCAGTCGGCCAGGCCCAGCTGAGAGCTTGGCTGCACTTAACTCCTGTCCATTTAACCATCGGCGGCCTGGGAGAAACATGGAGGGCGGGGTAGCAGAGCACGGGTGTACTCTGGGGTAGCCATAGCCCATATCCCATGGCGGCACAGGAGACTTCAGCTAGACTTCAGTTCAGAATGAAGGCAGCTGGTGGCTGAGGTATAACACTGCAGGCCTTTCCCTTTCTCCTCTCCTCCCCTACCCCTGCCCGAGTTCACCAGGTCAGTCTGATTCCCTGAACCTACATGGGGTGAATGGATGAGGTCTTTGGTTATGCTGAGTTGGTAATTTGGTGAGGAAAATAAAGAAGAAACTGACTGAGGCCTCGCGCGTGAGTCTCCATTGCTCAGCTGTGGACCCTCTAATACTGCTATGGCTATGGCGGACAAGCCACGGGTGGAGCTGCGGAGCCGAAGGAGTTTTGGTCCGCCTCCAAACTTGCAGTTATGGGAAAACCAACACTCTCATCTTCTGCACCAAGTACGGTGCCAGGCACCCACTGGGTGTGCAATCCATAGCAGTTCCGGAAAAGCCAGAACCAGGGTCCTACTGGAGCTTGCCATGGTCCAAGATGATCAAGAACCCCACCTTGAGGAGAAATAGTGGCACACTGGTCTCCTTTCTCTGACCATTGAGAATTACAGGGTGTCCAGTTCCTCTATGTCAACAATGTTAGTTTTAAAGAAAAACAAAAAAAGCCCTAAACAACCCCCCATCTGCCTAGCTTCAACCCCTACCCCCTTATTTTTTTTTAAAGGGTATTCCCTGAGCAAAGGGTCTAATCCCATCCTTAACTGAAGGCCACATCCCTCGGGCAGAACTAGGGGGGGCCATGCATGACTTCTGAGCTGGCAAACCAGCTTAGGAATGTGAAAGCGGAAAAATGTGTGTCACTGAGAACTTGGGCCTGGGAGCCATGAGGTGGTTTTTCTGGAACCAAAGCTCAACACTTCTGAGCCTCAGCTGGCCTTGCAGTCCAGGGGGAGGGGATGCTGAGCTATCCAGGACTCAGGACAAGGAGACTTGAGGAACAAAATTCTGTTTCTAGGAACCCCTCTGCATCCCAGAAGAGAGGCAGTCCACTGTCAAACCAAGCTGGCCTGCTTCCTGTCGCCCGGCCACCATCACGGGCTGGGTGGGGCCAGGTCTCAATTCCTCCATTCCCACATCAGCATTTGAGGGACAAAGGACAAAGCCATGTCCACCACAGCTCTCTCCTCATTGGGAATTTGGCTCAGCTAACGAGGTGAACTGCAGTGTCCCCGGTGGGCTGCTTTAACCTTGGTTAACCAATTCTACAGCTTCTTATCTCCAAGGCCTCCCTCTTCTATTAGGCTTTATTCAGAGGTGAGTTTTTCCTGGAGGACCCAGCCTAGTTCAGAGAATCAGTTGTTGGGAATTACCTAATATGCACATATTTTAACATTATTTTCTGCCTAAGAAATGAAATTAATTCAAACAAGTTTCGGCCATGAGCCACACGATGGCTAACTGCTGCAAAATGCCCTTCACAAGTGTTGATTAAATAAGTTCCTTTTCGTTTCATGAGACTTACAGGGATTTTTCTGCCCACCCCAAGGAAGCTTGGGTTTGGTGGTGGTTGAGGGGGCAATATTGAATCTGTGATTCCTCCCCACTGCTGGAGGGCCCTGTCAAAAGATTTCTCCCCACGAGACATTCAGGTCTAAGAACAACAGAGGCATGAGGGATGGAAGCTTGGCTCTTTGCTCCCCAGGTTGTGGTGATGGAACTGGATGGGGAAAAAAATTAAAACCACCAAAACCCAGACACACCACGAACAAAGAACTGCTGATCCCACAGAAGCCACTGCCTAGCCGAGGAGGCCAGCCGGGCCACGCCTGCTGCTCCCCAGAACCTCTCCTCTGCTGCATTACTCCATGGAACTGTTGCCTAGTTCCCAATTTTGACTTTTCCTGCCTGCTTTCAGGAGCTCCAAGGCTGCAACCCCTCATGCTCCCCCGCTTCCTTCCACCACTGATTTTACTGTGTTGCTGGCTGAATGGGGCATTGGCATCTTTCCCTTCGCCTCCAGCAGCTAAGGAGACCAAGATGATGACCGCCCAGAGGGCAGAGTCACTAAAAACCCATTTGAACTTTACCTGTCCCCCAGTCACCCTAGCAGGACGAGCTCCAATTCGGGTCCAGAATGCCCGGGTCTTTCCCTGTCAGCCAGAACCAGGGCCACTTCTAGTGCCGATCAGCTGTCCTGGCACGTTTGATGTTAGGGCAGGAGTTTGTCAGAGAGAGAGCACAGCCATGAGGTATTTTTTCTTCCTCTTTGTCCTTTTGAAAGGGCCAATTATTTCAAGCCTTAAAGTTACCAGGTCTGCAAGAGCGGTACACTTTGTTCCTACATCTACCCTCCTGCCCCACCCCCCCAATTCCAGGACTCTCAGGTACCCCTTTGCTCTTCCTCATGCCCCATGTGCCACTGCTCCAGACAAGAGGCCATTAGGCAGCTCCCACGTGGGCTGGGGGCCCCTTTTCAAGGTGGGCTGCCGCTACGCGGCCGAGGATCTGTTCCATTATTTTGTTTTCAGCCAACACTAGAACAGAGAAGCCAAGATCAACTCACACACAGATACAAAGCAAAGAGACAGAGAGACAGTGATTAGAGGCCAGTCACCAAAAAAGATGGCGTCAGGGTGGGAGGATGCCCCCTGATGGCAAGGCCCCTGAATGGATGGAACCAAGTGTTCACTCTCTCACGCTTGGGTAGAATGTTCAGCTGGATGGCATTCACGCGGATGCTGTCGGGTCAGTCCCAGCCATTGTCCTTGATCATGTGTGCTAGCTCAATGATGTATTTGCCTTCTTTATACTTCTGACTGCTTTCAAAAGCATGCTCCTAGAAGAGAGGAAAAGACACCGAGTGAGCAAAGGCAAAGGTGACGGCTGGGACCTAGAAGCAGGGAGGTTGCTGACCGTAGGCACCAGGACAGCAAAGGTCAGCCGCACGAAACTTTCTAGCACGCAGCCATTCTGAGTTCCTGCAGTTAACAGCAGAGTACACCCAGGCTTCTTTGGTATCACAATAAGAAGTTATTTTGGATGATTCCTCTTTTAAACATTTGCTCAGATGTCACCATCTTGGTTAAGTTCTTTCCCAACTATTGAACCTGAAACCCTAATTCCACCTGAGGTGGCACCCTCTCTTCCCAATTCCTCTCCTTATTTCTATTTGCAGAACTCCCTACTACTGTCCACCCCCCCCACAAATGCCCATTTCTAGTCACTTGCTGCCGCCTGTAATGCAGGCAATACAAACTTTAAGCAGAACAGAGATGTTCATGGTCTGAGCACTGCCATATTCCTAGAAGACTAAGAGCCAGGCCAAAAAACAGGCCTTCAGTAAACAGATGAGCAGCTAGTGTATTTTGAAGGCAACTTGGGAGCACTGGAGGTGAGGACAACTTTGGTTTCATGTAAAGACTATCTTAAACACACACCAAAGCCTAGCAAGGTGGCACACACCTCTGAGACCAGTACTCAGGAGGCAGAGGCAGGTGGATCTCTGGGAATCTGAGGCTAGTCTATACAGCAAGTTCCAGGACAGCCCGAGCTACAGAATTGACAGACCCTGTCTCAAAATCTAAAGAAAGCAGAAAGCCAGCACACACCTTCAACCCCAGCACTCCGGAGGCGGAGGCAGGCAGGTCTCCGTGAGTGCCAGGCCAGCTAAGCCAGTGACCCCTGCCTTAAACTGACAGTCACTCACACATACACGTGAGCTCTCTAGGGAACCAGATTTCTGAACCAGCGCATCTGTATGGCCGGTCTATGCTCCCATGTTCTAGGAACACGGGCAAGCCTGGCTATAATCTTAAGGTGTGCTTGTTATGCCTCGGTAGGCTAGCAAGAGAAACCAGTACTGAGGCCAACCAGGTCTCATTTCCGTTTCTCCATGTTTCCACATCAGGGGAATCAAGTTTTTCTTTCACTGCTGTGCTCCATGCAGGCTGACAGGCGCTGCATACGCCCCAAGCCGTGGCACGTGCCCCACCCCCACTCCACCTACTTGGCAGGCTGCTTCCTAAAAACACCTCTGAGGAGCCTTCTCAGTGAACCTGAAGAAAGCCATCCTGCCCAGGTAAGGGAGAACAGACTCTCATGTGCAGAGACAAAACACAGAAGCATGTATGCATTATGTGAGAACACTGGTCCCCGGCGTCACTTGGGTAGTGATTGAGGCACACAAGAGGACAAATGGCTCCTCTGCATGAGCCTGAGACCAGTAAGAAACCAAATCCCACTGTCAGGTCGGTTCTGACGACTTTTTACTTTGTTTTCCAAGGCAGCATTTTTCGGTGTAGCCCTGGCTGTCCTGGGACTAGCTCTGAGGACCAGGCTGGCCTCAAACTCAAGAGATCCCCGGCTGCTTCTGCCTCCCCAGTTTTGGGATTAAGGCTGTGTGCCAGTACCACCCAGCTGGCACGCCTGGTGAACCGCTTCTATTTCGGAACCCTGGGGCTTTGTGTTTTAGAACAAGAGGTCAGACTTCAGTATCTTGTTGAGCAAGGAGGAAGAGGGGAGCCAGGAACACTGTGGATTCAGCAGGAATTTCCCTGACAATTCATCATTCCCTGGCTGTGTGTGTGTGTGTGTGTGTGTGTGTGTGTGTGTGTGTATGTGTGTATAAAAGCACTATGATCTGGGAATTGTGCTTGTGTTTAGGGCAGAAGTGGAGAACATTAGTGTGAGTTTTCCTCAGAGCCTGGGCTGGGGAAGGGGTAATGCATGTAATCCCAGAACCACTAACAGGCAGGAGGAAGGAGTGCAGCCTAGACGACACAGCAATTTCCCTATTAAGTAGAAGAAAAGAAAAGCAAATCCATCTGCCCACGGGCACCTGTGATGGCAGCAAGAGCGAATAATCTGGCTCATCCTCTAGGAACTGCTCACCTCGTCTGTATAGTATCTATCGCAATGATTCTCAACCTATGGGTTGCGACTCCCTTGGCAAACCTTGGATCTCCAAAAGCAATTACATTACCATTCATAACAGTAGCAAAACTACAGCTATAAAGTAGCAACGAAAATAACTTTATGGTTGGGGGAGGGTCACCACAACATGAGGAACTGTAGTGAAGGGTCGCAGGGTTAGAAAGGTTGAGAACTACAGCTCTGCAGGATTGTTCCTTAGGTCGGTAGAAATACCGATAAGCAAAGGAACAGCAGAGAGGCTGGTGACCAAGGTGATCAATGTGAGCCATCGGGTGCTACCCGTCATCTTGACAGGGAGCGGACTGCATTCTTGCTTCCCTCCCCTCATGCTGGGGCTGGAGCTCCAACTCAGGGCTGCGCACTGCCCGGTGAGGGTCCCACAGCCCGCATTCCCGGTAAGTGCCGAGTCAACAGCTTTTCATACAATTCTGTCGGATCACGGTACCCGAACCTCAAGCAGCAAGTGAAACCTGCCAACTTGGGGTTATCTCTCGCCTCTAATCCAACATCTCAACGAACAAAGCGGCCAAATGGTCACCAAACAGGAAGAGCAGATAATTCCTAGATAGTCAACGGTGACCTCATGGTGGAGTGCACGTGTACTTCCGGCTCATAGGAGGCTGAAGAGAAAGGACCCTAGTTTCAAGGCGGTCTGGTTCTTAGCAAGACCTAACACAGCCACCTCACAGCCCCATTGCTCTTAAACTTATCTCCCTGCAATAAACTTTGTTATTATTATTTTAAGAGTTTTTATTAGTTCTATGGCGAGGTTAGCTGGCTAAGAACCTTCCACCACCACCTCCCAAATACCAAAATTACAGCCTTGTATCGCCATGCGCAGCTGGCGCCATATTTGTTAGCAGTCAAAAAGCTGAGAATGGCATAGAGCCAACTAAGATGGAACTCAGTTTGAACCCCATTCTGCTGCTCAGATGGTGGGACCAGGTATGGTGGTGCACACTCCCTGTAGCACTTGGGAGTCAGAGGCAGGGTCATCACTGTGAGTTTGAGGCCAACTTGGTCTACAGAGGACAGCCAGGGCTACACAGAGAAAACCCTGTTTCAAAAACCAAAAAGGAAAAAACAAAAACAAAAAAACCATTGGCTGGTGACCGTGGAAGCACTGTGTACTTTTGTAGGGACCCAAGAACAGGCAGAACACCCGCTCAGCAGTGTGCTCTGTATTTTGACCCTCCAATTATTTTAGTCTATTAAGACAGGGTCTCATGCAGTCCACCAGATCTATGATCTATCTGCTTCTTTCAACCTCTTGAGGGCAGGGATTGTAAGTGTGTAGTACCATGTTTGAATAGCTAGTGCATTCGTTATCTTTTATTAAATGTACACGCCTGTTTGTGTGTACATGTGTTTTTATTTTTCATTTTCGGGTTTTTTTTTTTTAAACAGGGTTCTTCTGTGTAGCCTTGGCTGTCCTGGACTCGCTTTGTAGACCAGGTTGGACCTTGAATTTAGAGATCCACCTGCCTCTGCCTCCCCAAGTGCTGGGATTACAAGCAGGTGTCTGTGTGTGTGTGTGTGTGTGTGTGTGTGTGTGTGTGTGAGAGAGAGAGAGAGAGAGAGAGAGAAAGAGACAGAGAGCTAGAGAGAGAGAATATTAAGGTGTGTTAGCCATGTGAGCCAGAGATTACTATCAAGTATCTCTAAGTTGCTTTTGTGCACCGGGAGCTCACCAACCAGCTAGACTTGCCTGGCCCCAGGGATTCTCCTGGTCTATGTCTACCTGGCTCTGGGGCTGCAAACATCAGCTGCTGCACCCAGCTTTTTCCATGGGTGCTGCGGACCAGAACTCGAGTCCTTGTGTTTTCAGGCGAGCGCTCTGCTGAGGAGCCATTGTCCCAGCGCTGTTACATAATGTGCACTACACCACACTGCCGGCTGTCGGGAGATTGTATTGAGGTCCTGTTCTGAAGGTCCACGCACACACCCACGGGTGCGTTTCCAGGACAGGTGAAGGAGTGAGCGTGGAGGGGTCAGTTGCTGTCTTGGTCAAAGGCAAGAGTCCACGGGGCTGAGGGAAGGCTGGGGAAGAAACCATCCCTCAGACAGGAGGCCTCTGCTTCCCTCCCAGCCCCTCCCGCCCAGGCCCTCCTGTACTTACATATTTCCAGCCCAGGGTGGTCTTGCAGCTCTCACAGTAAATGTCCGCAACCGCATGGAGTCCTGTCAGCAACACCCGCTCCTCGGCAGGCCCGCAGCCCACATTCACTCTACGCCAGAGACAGGGAGAGCGGGTAGTCAGCCACACCGGTAAACCCCCGTTAGTCACTCAAGCTGAGCTTCTGGCAAAAACAGACTGGACGAGGCTACTCCCAGGGAAGCCAGCTAGGAGGAGGGACTGGCCTAAAACCCAGAGGGGAAAAGCGGCCCCTCAAAGGTAACCACATGGGAATGTCTCCGTGGGAATAAATTCCAGATCTGCAAGACCGAATTCTGTGGGCCCTACCAAAATAGCCCTGGGTGACAGTTTGCTTAGGATTTAAATTTTCTGACACAACTGAAACAGAAACTAAACTAAAAAAAGAAAAATTTCCTATTACATTTACTCGTTGCGGGGGGAGGGGGACACACGTATGCTGTCATGTATGTGTGGAGGCAAAGACAACTTTGGGAATGGGTTCTCTCCTCCTGTGGTAAGGATTTCTAGGGATCCAGCTCATGCTGCCAGGCTGGCAGCACTGCCTTATCTCCTCAGCCCAATCCTGCCAGCACTGAAAGGGACAAGGCGGCAACGACACGGTGAGGTTCACAGCCTTAACGCAGGCCCTCGAAGGTCACAGAGGACTGAATGACGCCTGAGATGGGCGAACGAGACTATGAGTTTTAGTTCTTATCAAGAGGGCACGTAAGCACGTAGCACACGGAACACCTGTTCTGAATGCGGTAGATGCCCTTTCTTGGTTCATCAGATGTCTACGAGCTTCGCCTCCCTAGCCCAGCCAGAGGCCGAGAGTCACGCATCCTCGGTGACGACGGGCTGTGTAGACGTGCTGTGCAGAAGGGATAAGGCTCTTCCGAAGCCTTCCTCCCACTGTGGGTCCATTTCACCCCAATCACAGATCTCAGGCCAGGCTGACCTCCATGCTGAAGGTCTGGGAGAGGCCCCTCCACTCCAGTGCCGGGGACAGTGCCTTACTTTTTAGTTGGAGATGCTGCAAATTTCCCCTAAGGGATCAGTTCATAATGGGAACGCCCCTAGGGATTTTACTGTTACTAACATCACCAAGGCAGAGGTCATGGCTGAGTCACGGAGGAGTGCTTTCCCCTCCCCTCAAGAACTGCACCCAATCAACAGATGCCCCATTCAGAGGTACTCACACGGAATTAAAGAGGTATGCTCGTCCTTGACTTCCCTGGAACGACTGAAATATGAGAAAACAAATCAATAGTTAGACATCCGTGTTACTTATTTGGGAAACGGACCCCAAACCACACAAACCTGACCTTCCACGCAGAAGGGAGCATGCATCCAGCGAGGAGTCTAGATAGCAGGTGGGGGTTGGGTGAAAGACAGAATAACCAGTTCAACAGCAACCAAGCCAGCCCGCAGACTACTTTTTACCAGCTCAGGTGAGATGAGGGACAAGACAGCAGCGAGGCTGGAGGAATGGTGCAGGGTGTAACAATAGCACTTGGAAAGCTACGGCTGCACAACCACAGGGCAACCTGGGATACACTGGGAAACACTATCTTTATTTAACAGCAGAACCCCAGGTAATTAAATACCCGTTCTGACATCGCCGGACAGTGAATCCACTTGAAGGAATTAATCCACACCACCTCTCCTGCCTGAACCTGACGCCGGCTATCTATGGTGGCCACTGCTCCGCACGGTGGCGGGGTGTGGAAAACCGGTGCCAACCACCTCTGCCTTCTCTTTACACAAACCCCAGCACAAGGGTCTGCCCTCATCACTTGCCTTGCTTCTGGTCAGTTCCGCCTCCCACAGCAGTTCCAGTCCTGAGGGGGATTGGAGAAGTCTCATTTCAACCTCTAGATAGGGACAGCATGACCAGGCTGGAGCAGAAAGGAGCCAGCGCTTGCCGTGCGATCTGGCATCTCGCTCAGGCCTTTCCCGTGTTCCCCTCCTCTAGTTTCACTGAGCTGTCTGGATGACATGAGCCAGCCATGCTCTGCATTGCTGCTTGCATTTTTAATGTGGTATGACAACCGTACCCCAATTTAACTTCCTAGCCGGGGGGGGGGGGGGGGGGGGGCTCGGGAAGACAAGGAAATGAGGAACTCTGAGGAAAACTGGGGTGTCCAGTTGACAGACGACCAGAAGGTAAGAGCACCAGATGGGTCTCAGATCACTGTGCCTAAGACAGCCATCTTGTCAGAGGTACAGGTCTTCTGGGTCACTGCCTCTGGCCAGAGAAAGGCAGACTTCCTGTGGAGAGGCTGATAAGGAACAGCTGGATTGCTGGATGCCTTCCTGCCCAGGTGCAGCTCAGGGAGCAAGCAGATGTTCTCCAGCTGCTGCCCGGTTCCTAACCAAGTTTCTTGTAACAGCCCAGGGAGTAAAAGACCTCCCAGGCACAACGAGGCTGCTCTGGGAATCACGGCTTCTACTACAGAACACCAGGGTCCCAATGACAAAGCCCAGAGTTTGCACAAAGTGCCCAGGAGAACAAAAGCTGCCCACCGAGGCGCCGCCTCTCTTGCCGCCTCGCCACCGTGCCCTTTGCTCTAGCCCAAGCCAGCCACACTCCGTAGCTAACTTGTCTAGCTTTGCCCTCCTTATTCCCTGACCTTCCCAGGGAGACACACAACCGACACCATTGTTCTGGGCTCTCCTTGTTCCTTGTTCCCTGTGTTGTCCTTTTTCTTTGCATCTGGATTTAATTTTTTTTTTCTTTTAATCAAACTCCTTCTGTATGCTGTGAGCTGCCGAAGGCATGGCTTACATCTTCAGTCTCCCTCCGCTGCTGCAGGACATAGCTTGTTTTGTTTTTGTAGAGTCTCACTCTGTAGCCCAGACTGGCCTTGAACTCCAAGTAATCCTCCTGCTTCGGCCTTCAGAGCTGATGGGATCACGGGTGTAAGCCATTCCATCCAGCTCCATCAGCATATATAGTACTAATTGTATTTTTTTTTTCTTTAAACACTATGGGGTGCATTGCTAAATGACCTCTGAGACCTGTATGCCAGAGAAGCCATCAGCACAATCAAGATTAAGGACAATTACCCAGGCCGGGTGGCACAGCTTTACACAACACTTCAGAAAACCTGTTGTTTTGTTTTGGGGTAGGATCTCAATATATACCCTAGCTCTGGTTGGCCTGAAACTCACTATGCAGACTGAAATGGCCCCTTGCCTGCCTGGAGTTAAAGGCAAGTAGCACCACCCTAGACTACAATGAAATTTTATGGAAAGTCACTGTTGTTAACTCCCCCATATCACTGCTCCTTTCTTCATGTACCCTAGAAATACAAAGTTCACTGCAGCCCCCTGCTGAATGACAAGCTATCAGATGCAGGCTTACTCTGTGACCTCGGGAATATCATTCAGCATCCATCTGCAAAATAAAAAAGCCTGATTGGGGGCAGGTGGGCATTTTCTACGGAGGAGGAGAGTTCTAAGATTAAAGACACTTGCCACACCACACCTGGCCTGGATCTCCGCTCACCGAGGCCAACCTGGTCTACATAAGTGTTCCAGGCTAGCCAGGGAAACACAGAGAGACAGAACCGAAGGACAACCAACGATCAGATCATGGATTATTCATCACACCCCAAGACTTTAATTTTTTTTTTTTGTTGTTGTCTGTTTGTTTTGATACTGGGCATCTTTGTGTGTCCTTGGATGTTCTGGGATGTGTTCTGTAGGTGAGCCACCACTGCCTGGCTATTTACAGAATCTTAAGATGTATTTTATTTACGTGAATGCATAGAAGTTGGTGCCCAGAGGCCAGAAGTGGGTGTTGGTCTCCTGGTGCTGAGCATTATAGATGGTTCTGAGCCATTCGATGTAGGTGCTGTGAGCTGAACCAAGTCCTTTCTATGAGCAGCAAACGTTCCTAACCACGGAGCCACCTCTCCACCCTCCAGCACAGTCTTAAAAATTATCCATGTTGTTTGAAAAATCAGTTCACTCCTTTGCTTTCTTTTGTGCCAGGGTTTCATGTACATAACCCAGGCTCACCCCAGACTCAGCTGTCCCTCCTCCTGCCTCCAGCTCTCGGGTGCTGGCGTTACAGCAGGCAACACCAGAGCCAGCTCTGTGCTTTGCGTTTAAGAAGGACCAGGGAGCACTTGAGAGGCAGAAAGGGGCTGATCTCTCTGAGTTTGGGGCCAGCCTGGTCTACAGAGTGAGTTCCAGGACAGCCAGGGCTACACAGAGAAAACCTAAAAATGAATGATCAAAGAGGCCAGGCATGGTGGTCTATGCTTCAGTCCGGCAGGTGGATCTTTTTTGATTTTTTTTGGTAGGGTGGTCTGAGGCCAGCCAGAGCTACAAAGCAAGACCCTGTTCTCAGATAATACCTAAACAAAAAGGTCAGAGAAGATAACAGTCATCATATGAATGTATGAAATGGTCAAACAATAAAATCGGCATTTTAACATTAAAAGAAATATAGATCCTATATAATTTTTTAAAGTTCACTTATGTATACGGGTATTTTGTCTGCCTGTATGTCTGCATACCAGAAGGGGGCACTGGGTCATAAGCTGCCATGGGGGTGCTGGGAATTGAACTCAAGACCTCTGATAGGGAGGGCAGCAAGGGCTCTTAACCCCTGAGCCACCTCTCCAGACCACATATAAAATTCTTATGTTCACATGTACACTTTATATAGCAAGCCGTACATTAATGGGATCCGTGAATGTGTACATTAAACTTGTGCCCAAGGACTTTGCTGAAAGGCCACTGCACTGGGGACGCCAATCTGCTTCGGGGCATTGCCTAGGAGTAACTACTCCCAGCCTGACAGATTAGAATTCCTAGAGAGCAGGGGCTGAGGGGAGGATGCGTGGCAAAACAAAAAACAAAAACAAAAACAAAACAAAACAAACAATCTCCTTAGGCTCGAAGGTGGCTCACGGGTATGCCAGGGACAGTTCCTCCAGGTGACAATATGCTGGCAGAAGTCCAGGTCCTACCAAGGGTGCCGGGCCGAGCGGGGCTGTCCTGGTGTGGGGATATTTCCACAAGCACACCCTTCTGCCACCCTCTGTCTCCTCAGCCTGGCACTCATAACCAGCTGCAATTTTTTGAGGCAGAAGTCTGGAAGCTCTTTTACTGTGGCTTCCACCACCCCGGGGACCCTGCCAACTCGACATTTATGATGAGAAAAACAGACACTGAGAACAACAGGCTTCTTTGCAAATAGACATAGACGAGAATAGCCCGCTGGGTCACTGTATCCTGTGGGCCCAGCCTAGCCCAGCCCAGCCCAGCACAACCTGGCACAGCCTGGTGTTCCCTTGGGTGAGGGTGGTGCCGAAGGTGGGGAAACTGAAAGAAAGGGAGCTAAGGAAGCAATTAAAGTGAAGCAAACAGAATTCAGACCAGGAGATGCCAAACAGACTGTCAAGACACATTTGTTTGCTGTCATTACTGCCAGGCAACAAGGCAGTTCTTTTCCGTATTGTGTGTCAACCAAGGCTGGTGTGCAGGCCTTCACGGAAGGTTTTTGTTGTTGTGGTTTTGTTTCATTTTCTTTCAAGCCGTACACAACTCTTCTTCTATCCTTTAACGTACAGTAACAGTTAGTTGCAGGCCCTGCCCCTCCAGCCAGCTCAAAGAAACGAAAAGGGCTCCGAGTTTCCTGTTTAGTAGCCAAAACCACTCATTTCTGGCCCTGTTGGGAATCTGGAAGGCAGCAACTCCTTTTTAAAGTAGGAGAAGTACTGGAGCTGGGCGTGGCGGTGCACAATTGTAACCCAAACACTTGCAAGGCAGCGACAGGAGAAATGTAGGTTCGAGGCCAGCATGGGCTACACAGTCAGAACCCTGTTGTCTCAGAACGGGTAAAATAAACAGGCCTTGGGCTTGGCAGCACACAATTATAACGGGGTTGGAGGGAAAAGAGTGCAGAGACACAGGGAGCAGGTGTAGCCTCTGGGAATGGGCTGTGCCCTTGGCTCATCTATGTGAGGTTTGAGGACCTAGTCACCCCGGAAGACTCAGGTTCTCCCCTGACTAGCCACTTGAGCATCTCACAGCTCTCAATTCCCTTCTCACCTGTGACTGGAACTCATGCTTATTTCACAGTGCAGTTAAGAACGGTCAAGTCCAGAGCAGAAAGTTTCTAGTCTTCGCTGGAGGCTTTTCAGGAGCCCGAGGAAAAGATGAAAAAGTTCACTCAGTTCCTCAGGTCTCTTTTTCTTTGGTGACCTTGATCTTCCTGTCTTTAAG